TAATGATTTTTTTTAAGCGAACGACTAGACCAATTTTTTAATTTTTATAGCTTAAATTATTCAATTTGATCCCATGCAAATATTAAAATAATCTTGATTCATGAGAATGGCAGATTATTTCATTAAATGTTTGGACAGTTGTTTACCATTTTGTGGAGGGGAGGAGGGACTCCAGCTCGAAAGCTCCCCCCTCCCTTCCCCAGTAGATCCGCCTCTGCAACCCATGAAGGGTCTTGGCTTTGAGTACTTTGTAAGGAAGTACTGTTTCAAGGCCAATGTTTGTGCAGGGATGTGATAGCTCAACCGCCAGGTAGGTAGGATAAGGGTTTTAGAGGGATAGATTGCTAAATTAATACGCCCCTCAACCGCCAGGTTTTCCCCCTTAATTAATTATTGTAATTAAGGTGCCCATTTTATAGAGGCTGGGGTGTGCCCCAGGAGGGTCTCTCGACCCATTGTCAGGTCTCGAGTTTCCACGTCATCACACAGACTCGAACCCGGGACCTAGAGCTTTGGAAGTCAGTGCTTACCCACTGAGCTAAAAAAACTCCCAGATAATTTATACTACAAAGAAAATATTTTACATTATTATTTGTATTGGTAACCCTGCAAAACACTCCCCAGAGCAACATCTAAAGTCCACGTAACATAAGAATGTTAATAAACATGATGAAAGCTTAAAAAGAATGAAATGTGAGTGGGTGGTTGAGTGGGGGAAGAGGGAAGAAGAAAAAAGAAAAGGGACCTGTTGCTATTGAAGCTGCTGCGGAGGTGGAGGTACCAGGAGATCAGGAGGAACTCGGGGGTAAGAAGAGGTAGCTACATTACTCCACACTAATAGCTCCTCTCTGTATCCTGCTCTCCTGTTAGCGTCGGTTAGAGCTGGGCGATGTTCCCATACTCCGTGCGCCGCCACCTCAATCAGGAGAGAAAGCGAAGGAACTATATCAATTGTTAACAAGTAGACACTGAAGGAGATTAGTGATGGACAAAACTGTTAATTATGAGTAGCAGTTACAACAATTTTTACTACTGAAAAAACAGTTTAAAAAACTTTGAAATATATTTTTCTATTAATTTATTTATTCAATTGATCTATTTCGGAGGACTGGCTTTTTGAAAATGGTGCAGACAACTGTATGTAAATTGCAGGAAAAAAAAACATGTACCATTAACTGGTCAGTGAAATCAGCACAAACAAATAAGGTCTAGTTTGCAAAAGATCTTTTTTATATTGCTACACTAGAGGAACCAGGATTTAATTTTGAGGATGGGGGCTTCAGCCAGAAAGCTTTTTTTTTCATAAAAATAACGATAATTACTATGGAAAAAAAGAAATAATCTAACTACCTAGATGAAATGGTGTTTAAGTGATTCCTAAAGTCCTTTTAAATGTGATTACCTGAACAATAATACTTTAAGAGATAATTTTTTCCATGAAACATGGTTATATTTTACCATTTTGAGGGGGAGGAGGCTTCAGCCTGAAAACTCTCCCCCCCCCCTGTAGATCCGCCCGTGTATTGCCAGGTATGTAGTGAATATAAAAAATCCAAGTTTCCGCCCTTGAAAGCTTTTTGGATTCGCTACAGTGCTTCACTTTCACTTCTTCATATCTCCTTATTAAAGCGACAATGGTTACATAAATATGTAAATACAATCTAGAAATAACAGTGAGGTTTTAACGAGGTTACATTCAGCTAATCTATCGACATCAAAAACCAGTGAAACCGCTGAGCCATCGGTGAATCAATGAATAAATCAATGCGTGCGCTTTGGGAGTTTAGTAAGAGTTTAATGGATGAGCTCAGCGCTGAGTATAGAAACTTTTTCCAAATTTCTTAAAGATTCCATCTAAAGCAATATCAATCTTAAAGAATACAGGCACACCAAAAACTTAAATTAAAAAAATTTGTCGTACCAAGTACGACCGAGTTCCACAAATATGTTGTAACATCTATAATTTTTAAGTTCATTTTCCTATACATGGAAATAGAAATACCCATTTCTAGATAAAATGTGATGGTAAATGAAAGCTGTGTGATACGCGTACAAATCCAAACTTTGATTTTTTTAATTATAATCATTTGAGAAAGACTGGAATAATTTTAATGAGAAAAGAAAGCAACAGGGGTGCCCCCTTCCCCCAAGATCGGTGGTGCATGAATTTTCCACTCCTCTCAAAATATTTTATTGTTCTTCTGTTTTTAATAATAGTACCGGTTAACGCGTGTGTACTCCACGGCGCGTTGCCCGGCAACCTTATAACCGAAATTAAGAAGAAAAATAACGGAATATGCCCCACTCAAAAACCCGTTAAAAGGTGTCTTCCTCAAAATTTTAATGGCGGGATTTGCACCACGGAACCCTCCCGTGGACACTGCTGAAAAGCAAGCCTTCCATTAAAAATTAGCCTGTTCGATTTGCTGTGGATGGTTTCCGATTTTAAATCAAAGTTGGTTAAACATTGTAATAATAATTTGTTCATTTTATTATTGACTATTATGAATTCAAATTTTCATTGAATCTAGAATATACCTTTTATTCGATATATATTTTATTGTATTAGCTGACCCTTGCGAATAATTCTCACAAACCTTATATTTGTATAAAATTTCAATACATTAAGGGCTCAGCATAAGTTCCTTTTAGTAATGTTTCTAAGGAAAGGTTTAGTACTTTTATTTAGTAAGTTATCAGTTTATAAATATTATGATCTTATAATTATAATATTATATGTTTCTTAAGTTTACAAAAGCTTCTAAACATTTCCTTTAAATATCTGGTGAAGCTTAATGCATTGGATTTAGTTCTCTGGAAGGAATGGTTTGATCTAGCAGGTTGTATGTACAGAAAAAAAAAAGTTTAAAAAAATAAGGGAAAAAAAATTAAGCTTTTTTCTCGATGTTAATTTTATTATTGATATATAAACTTGAAGAAATTTAAAGATTAAATGAAAAAATAAAATTCTACTAAAATAAACTTGACGAAAACAACTATTACATCAATAGATTTAAAGTTTTTGATTAATCCAAAACTTAAATAAAGCAAGAAATCTTTAAAGTAGAATTAATACTAAATTTTTAGAACGCTATATCTTTGCACCACATTGTCCGATTTCGATGATTTTTTTTTTACGTTTCGTAGGGAATTTAGTAAGGTTTCAAATACTCATATGCATAATGGGCCAAAAATTGTATCCTTTTCGAGTTATTCCAAAATTATGAATTAGTTTGTAACGTCTCGATTCGTTGAGACGGCAACATCATATCGTTTGAAACCTCCCAATTTTACATTCACTTTTATTCAAGTCCAGTTATAAAATTACGTATCAAAATTATGTTTCGTGCACTCTACGTGATATTCCCTTTCTATTGATACCTCATTCGTCAAAATCATCACTCCTCAGAGCCTGAAAAGAGATATATATTTGAGAAATAATATATAAGATTATACTTATTTTTGAAAGTGATAACTCAAATTTTGATTTTTTATTGTAAAAGTCAAAAGTAGTTGTAATCGATAATTAAAATTAAAAACGAGAATGAGTAAACATTGCTTAAAGTATATTAAATCTTTATTCTACTATTGTATATTAGTATTACATTACTTCCCTCCATTATACCCCATTGAAGACTACACTAACAGAGAGGAAACCTTTGGCACAATATGGCTATTTGGCAGGTTGGAGCTGGGCCAACCCAAAGGGGCACCGGGCTTAATGTAGTACCCAAATGGGTCGTCGTCAAGACTGTCCCCCATTATCCTAAAGGAAAACCCTTCTCTGTAAAAACCTGTCCTTTATTTCATTATTACCTTCAAGACCAACTTTTAATTTCGAACTTTTAGATTTGATATAACTCTTTTAAATTTTGTAATATTTTCTAACAAAAAGATTTGTTAATTACTTAAAAATGGTAACTATTTTAAATTCTAGATAGATCTCATCTGAACACACAACTTCGGTAACTTGGTTGAAAGAAGTTTCTTTCTACACGAAAATTTTAATTATTCAGACAAAATTAAAACGGTTTATTCAAAGGAGGAAGAGACAGTTGAAATTTTGATATGATGTAAAGAATATGTCCTTAAAAGAGAATTCACTTTGACTGGCGATGTACTCGGTCGCGTTTTGAAATCTGACGACGTCAAAGTCATCAAATAAGTCCAGTCCGATGGTAGTTGGGTGAGGAAAAATTCAAATAGTCCGTTTCTCTTTGGTTATTATTTTTGGGGATGCTGAATCTGATTTTAAAGTTTCCGAACGACATTTTCCATTATTCGCAATATTTCTCAAATCTTCTTCGGTGCATACTATTTATTTTCAAGTTAATTTATTCTTAGCCATATTAACACCAATTTTTAAAAATTTTGTCAACTTAATGACTACTCATCACAATGACGACGTTTCGGCTCGTCGAGCCATTTTCAAGTCTAAAATACCCATCATGTACCTGCCCTTTTCACTTATGCGAATTGCAAGCGTCTACTCATAATAAAATTCCTTATTATTGTCATGTTCACCTTGTTCATGAGTCACCAACATGTCATCCATCTAATTTCTAGAACTGAATAGAAATGAGATGGATGGCATGTTTGTTGTCAGCGTTGAGGGTTTTACGAAGGATTTTGGATTGTAAGGATTGGATACGAGAGGAATTCGTTGGTTTAGTGGAGCCCCAAAGCTCAATTCCGTAAGTCTGAATAGGTCTTATTATTGTCATATATATGAGTCGTTTGTAATTGATTGAAAGCTTAGAGCGTTTGTCTAGTAAGTGCTGCAGTAGTCGAAAACGTCGGGCGGTTTCTAGCGGTTTCAGTCTGGTATGGTTTTTTTTTTTTTTAATTTTAATATATATGTATTTTTTTAAATTACATACAGTGTAAATTAGTATTTTGAATCCATAAATAGTTGAGAGCACAAGCTATGAACAAGTTACCTTGAAGTCAAGACATAAATATTTTGCTGTATATAATTAGGGAAAAAACTGGACTAGTCAGTCTAACCATCTAACCATGTGATCATGTCCTTGACAACCGAAATTTTAGTCATGTAGAATATTAAGCATTACTTTGAGGTTCGAGTGAATCTTTTAGGAGAATGACAAGGCATAGTGATTTTATTTTTAAAACAAATTTTCAATTATTTAAGTTGTTTAAATCCTGAGCTATAAAAGAAAACTATAAGCCAGAAATTGAAAAGCAACAAAACTACACTGAAGCGTTTCACATTTACTAATATAAATGTTTTGTTCAGTGATGAGATCATTCCGTGATTGTGATGAGGTGTTAGCATAATTTGGAGGGTGAGCATGTCTATTGTATCATGATGTAAGATGGTGAAGATGGAAAGGCACCTTTCTAAATTGGCGGTCATCCAGAGAGAGAACGAGAGGTGGGCCGAGAAGAGAAGACTTCTTCTAAAGAGGATGGGCAAGGAGGTGGATATGGTCCAGGAGTGCAACTTATCCAGGCACCCGACGGTGGAGTTCACTCTTGACGAGGCCTTCAGGATCATCTACATGCCGGGTGAAGATGACACTCGAGGAGAAGCCGGAAGGATGTCCGCAATACTGGAGGAGTCGCAGGGGGTGTCCGCGATCTTTGAGGAGTCGCATGGTATATCCGAGGTCTCTGAAGGGTCGGAAGACTCTTATGCAGAACTCGAAAGTAAAGTCGTCGAAGAGGAACCTCTCGCCCTTATGGACGAAGCGAATGAAGACGGCAACTTGGGTATCGATGGAAATGTAAATTCTGGGATTTAACATCTAAAATTATATGAATGATTATTATGAATTTTTATTTAAATCTATTTTCATTACTTAAGCACCAATGATTAGGCAACTGGTAACTGTGTCGGATCCAGTGGTAGTTTTTGGTCTAGTTAGTTTTTTTCTATAACTCGTGTTTAAAATCGATTGTGGTAGGAATATATATATATATATATTTTTTTTTTTGTTAAAGACCTTGAAGATCTTTTGTCGAAACAACTAACCTTCTCCATCTCTGCCTATCTTGGACTACTTCTTCCCAGTTATCTGCATGCACCTCTAAAGCAACTGTGTTCATTCGATCTGACAGGCATTCATCGTTGGGTAGAAGTAGGTATTGGCTTTAGTCAATAGTACTATTGATATATCGGTAGTTTAAAACAATCGATAGTTGATTTTCCCTTAGACAAATTATTTTCAAATTGTATACTTAAAGTAATAATTTTAATAACACGCCTTAATACTTGTACCTATTTAATGATGCGCAAGATATAGTAATAACATAACAATGCAAAAGTGAAACGCTAAATTATGGTAAACAGTTTCAAAACCTTACATTAAGCAATTAAGTCGATAAAAGTCTGATCGATATGTAAAACTGAAACAAAATTGAACAGAAGCCTTCAAGGTAGATTTACATTTAAATCTTATAAGTGAAAAATAACTTATTTATTACATCTAATTATTTTTATCACATCTGGAATTAGGGATGATAATAACAATATTCTGACCGATCCGGTTGACATATTGAATAAGTTTAAGGACCACTTTGACAATATTTTAAATATGGGAAATTATGATCTGTGTTCTCCTTCTGAGTACCAGAGTGCTGAACCGTTGATAGAAGGACCGAGTAAAGAGGAAGTTGAATTAGCTATCGGAAAATTAAAATCTTATAAAGCAGTGAGAACCGACAATATTCGTACTGAACTAATTAAGGCATGCGGGGAAGCTGGAGTTTCTAAAATACATCGGTTGGTTAAAAAGATCTGGGTGAATGAGAAATTACCTGAAGAATGGAAAGAATCTATTCTTATTCCGATTCACAAAAAGGGCCCGAGGACGGATTGTAATAACTATCGAGGAATTTCACTCCTTCCGGTATGTTATAAAATATTTACTTTAATCTTAACCAGTCGAATCACGGAATACGCCGAGGAAATTATCGGAGACTACAAATGCGGATTTAGACGGAATCGTTCGACTAATATTTTCTTTACGGCAAATATTAGAGAAAAAATTGGAGTACAACGATATTGTTCACCAGCTGTATATAGATTTTAAAAATGTTTACGATTCTATTGACCGCCAGAAACTGTATAATATTCTAATCGAGCAGGGGATTCCTACAAAATTAGTAAATCTAGTCAGGATGTGCTTGACGGAGACACTCAATAAAGTTAGAATCGGTAATAATCTGTCCGAAAAATTTGAGGTTCGTTCGGGTTTAAAACAGGGGGATTCCCTTTCGCCTGTCCTGTTCAATTTGGCATTAGAACATGCCATTAGGGAGGTAATGCGTACCGAGAAAGGGTTGGATCTGGGTGGGATAACATCCGTGCTTGGCTCTGCGGATGATCTGGTACTGTTAAGCGAAAACCTTGAAACTATAAAACTAAATACGACAACGTTAATGAAAGACAGTAAAGAACTAGGACTCGAAATAAACGTGGATAAAACAAAATATATGGTTAGCTGCAAAAATGGCGATACTACTGGTGATATCGATATAGATGGTAATATGTTTGAACAGGTAGATAAGTTTAGGTATCTAGGTTCTACGATAACTAGAAAAAACGAAATTGAAGAAGAAATTAAGGTTAGACTGAAGGCGGGAAATGCTTGTTATTTTTCTGTGACAAAACTACTTAGTTCGCGCGTCTTGTCCCGGAACTTAAAAATTAGAATCTATAAAACAATTATCTTGCCTACAGTTCTTTATGGGTGCGAAACTTGGCCGCTTACATTAAAGGATGAGCAGCGTCTTAAGGTTTTTGAAAATAAAGTATTGCGTAGAATATTCGGACCGAAGAAGGATAAGTTAACCGTAGAGTTCAGACGGTTACACAACGCCGAATTGCGTGAACTGTATCCGAGTAATATAATTGAGATAATTTCATCGCGGCGAATCAAATGGGCTTGTAAAGTTGTTGGACTTAGTAACGAGAGAATTCCTAAAAGGTTAATATTTGCTGTGCCGAATGGTAAGCGACTGAGGGGTAGACCGAAGCGAAGGTGGGAAGATTGCATTAAAGCCGATCTGAAGGGACTGGCTTTGGACGGCGAATGATGGAGGGAGTTGTGCAATAAGCTATTGGTGGTGTCGGCATCGAACCTTCGGGTTTGCTAAGCCTTTTTATTATTATTATTATCTATTTTCAATTTTTATTGATTAATTCAAGTTAATCGTTCATTATTTTAAGTATTTCCGCTTTGTATGATCTCTCTTGTATTTTTATTTTATATTTACATTCTACATGAATGTAAGATCATCCGTTTTTACTTTGTATTCACTTTAGGTTTTAACGATTATGTCTCAATATTATCTAATATTTAAATGTAATTTTCTTACATATGTACTACTAAGTATAATTATAATTATTCATATTTGTTTCCTCTCTATACTTCTAAATTAGTTCTGCAATGTATGGTCTCTAGTTATAATTTATTATTTCATAGATATAGTATTCTCCCTTCTATCCATCCATATCTTCAAATTTTAGATACTGTAATTTTCCAGGGTTTTTTACTTTTACTACTTACCCCCTCACCATTACCCAACCAGGTCAACAAATTTCCCCAATACATACCCTTACTCTGGTTTCCAGTTCTAAGTGAAACTCCTAGCCGAACACACCTGCAAAGCTCTATTTTTATTCTACTAATTTTATTTACTTATTTATTATTTTTAGTTATTCTTCTGTTTCTCCATATCCCTTTATGTCAATTATTTCTTATTATATCCCTTTTCCTTTTCTTCCAATCTCTCCTGTAGATCTGTAGGAATATATTCACAATTGCATATATTATAGTAATACTTCAACAATCGTTAACATCTATTTACTTCAGTTTAGGATCTTGTAACTTAGCTTAGTCTGTTTATACAACTTATTCTTCTTAATATTTTAATGTACTTACTGTGTATAATTCAATAAGTTTATTCGCATTGGTTATAATTTTTTATCTAAATATGATGTAATTTCCACAATTCTCTATAGCTTTTTGTATCTTGTCCGTTCTAGCCCTGAAGAAGACCTGCAAAGTCAGATCGAAACGTTGGTTTTTAATAAAATAGTTTTGCCACTGTTTAGTCTATTTATGACCGCCACCCCGGACCATCTCCTCCCTTTATTTATTTTCATGTAATATGTTCATGTTAAGGCATTTAGTGTCTTAACATAAATCTTTCAGAATGTATCCAATATAAATGTTAAGCATTGTTATGAAGTTTATTTTATTTTATTATTTATTAAACATTATTTAGCTCATTTTACAGCAAATAAAATAATAATTCAGCGAAAATTAATCCTCCTTAGGTGTGTGACGGAAAATTACTGCACTATCGATAGTGGAAAACAATCTACTATCGCCCACCCCTAGTTAGAGGCTTCCTGATAGATTGCTCTGGGCAAAATGTCGCGCCTATCTTAACTTCTTGTCTTCATTTCGTGAGATAATAAATTACCAGATTCTGTAAGCAGTTCTTCATTGATCATTCTCCTCCATTTGATCCCAGATAATATGCGGAGGATATTTCTCTCTGATCTTTCAATTCTAATTTCTAGAGTACTATTTAATGACTATATTTTGCAGCCGTGTGTCAAAACTGGGTTTAGCGTTGTACACAATTTATTTGAGATTTCTAGAGATTTTTCGGGATTCCATACCAGAAGAAAGCTCTGTTTGCGCTTGTTATTCCCTGATCTCTTCTCCACGTTTCGACATTCATTGAGGCTATCGTGGACACGAGTCATTTGAATTCGTTTACTCTCAGGAAAGATAATCCTTCTACATAGATCGAATTGTTGGGATGGAATTTTCATTTGATCATATATCTTGTTTAATCTCCATTTCAAAGCAATAGAATTAATGTCATTCACTAGCGGATCCAGGATTTAATTTTGGGGGGGAGGGCTTCAGCCCGAAACCTTTTTTTTTTCATAAAAATAACGATAATTACTTTGTAAAAAGAAAGAAACTAACTACCTATATGAAATGGTGTTTAAGTTATTCCTTAAGTACTTTTAAATGTAATTACACGAACAATAATACTTTAAGAGGTATTTTTTAAATTTTTTTTCCTATAAAACATGGTTATATTTTTCGATTTTGGGGGGTTTCAGCCCGAAAGCCCCCCCTCCCCGTAGATCCGCCCGTGATGTCATTCATGAATCTACAATGATCGATTTCTATATTTTCCGACGTCCGGATTGCACTTGGGCCAAGATCACTAAGATTAAACTTAAAGGTACTTTAAGTTAAGGTACTTTAGTTAAGTTACTTTATTTCTCAAAGTACAGGAATCACAGATTTCTAAATAGATTGTTTCTCTGAGCTAGTGTTTTTTTTTTCTAGTTTGTGACCGTTTCATTTTTTTAAAAAGAATTCAAAGGAAGTTTGTGTATGTGCTTGTGTCCCTTTTAGATATTTGTTTATTTGTTTACGGTTTGTATTGCTGGAGAGATGTTGAATTTAATTGTTTAAATTGAAATTTTCTAATTTAAATTGTTATTGTTTAAACTGTAATTTTCCTATTACAAATACCTCTAAAATTAATTTTAAAAAATATTGAAATTGGAGTTAGTCGTTCTGTCAGCTGAAAGACCCATATTAATATATATTTAAGAGACAATTTTTTTCAGTTGAATGACTTATTTCATAAAACGCATTTTTTTTTTTTATTAATCGGACGAGAACAATATCTATATATTTAACATATATAGCTTTTGAAGGGAGGCCCAAAAATAAATTCAGCGTGGGTTCCAAATCGTCCAGATATGTCACTGTTGATAACTAGAAGATAGG